AGGTGTCAGGGAAGAATAATTGGAATCGATAGTCCTTGTGATGTATTGAACAGTAAGTGGAAATAAACCAGGGAAAGGCAGAAAACTGAGGAAGAGAGAAGAGATGTTTTAAGGAGAAAAAATACTATGATCAAGTAACCCAGAAACATAGAATAACAAGAATTTGATGTTTTAATATCGCTGTTTAGGCTGTGATCATTTTGGTCTTGGCATTTTGACCTTGAGGATGTTTTGATTTCATCTTTTAATGTTTAATCAGAAAAAGGAGTCAATATGTCCTCAGATTCACAGGGTGGTCAAAATAACTCAATCAGAATCTCTTGATCTGGAAATTACAACAGTACATGGGTAACTACCAGCAGTTTGGTGCTACTACAGTGAAAGAAACCAAGGTGTGGAATGGTGGGTTACAGATAGCTGCACAGGTAGTCTTAGTTTATTGTCCTGGAATAATTATTAACAGCTCTTCCTATCTTGCAGAAGTGTTCCTATTTTAATAATAAATTATATGGTCACTATCATCATAAGGCTAGTGAGACAGGAGGCTAGGTCTTAAAGGGTTTACTTGCATTCCATGCTGAGGAGCTTGGACTTTAGCTAATAGGACCCACTGAAAGGTATTATTATATGTAGAAGAATAAGATGGTCAGATATTTTAGAATGGCCACATCGGCAGCCAGGTCCTCTGTGAGCCCATATGGTGTCTTTGTGCCGACTAGAGGGAGGTGCTCCTCCTGGGAAGACATAGCTCTTCAACCCAGTGGGAGAAGGGCTGAATTTCAGGCCTTGTCCCTGCCCCTGCCCCTGCCTCCACCCCTACCCAGGCACACATAGCAGCTCTGCTGGCAGTGGCATGGAACACATTCCAGGGATGGAGACTGGAGAGCAACCAGGAGCTTGCAGCAATAGGTATGACCAGAAATGGGGAGGCTTGCCTAGAGCAGTGGCGACTAGAGGGAACTGAAGATGCTGGCCATAACATCATTCATAGGATCCAAGATGGGTGGAGAACAAAAGGAGTCCAGTCCTAATTTCTTTTCCTGGAGAAAGGCCACCTTCTTTTTCATGGATTATCCTTTTATTATAATCTCTATCCTGAGGGGGAGGGGTAAATCCCATTCATACAGTTGCAAAATTGTGCAAGTATGGTGGAGCAAAAATAATTAACAAAGATTTAGCAAAAGGATATAATAGAACTTAAGAAATGAAAAAGTCATTTAGGGAATTTCAAAACACAGCAGAAAGCTTTAATAACAAGCTAAACCAAGGAGAAGAAAGAATCTCAGAGCTTGAAGACAAGGCTCTTGAGATAACCCAGTTATTCAAAGAGGCAGAGAAGAATATAAAAAAGTCTGAGCAATCACTGAGAGAGATATGTGACTTTGTGAAGCTAACTAACATTCAAATTATAGGTATCTCTGAGGGAGAAGAAGAAAGATCTAAAAGCATGGAAAACCTATTTGAGGAAAACTTCCCTGGTATTATCAGAAATTCAGACATACAGATACAATCATTGAACACCAGGAAGATTCACAGCAAATAGGTCTTCTCCAAGACACACACTAATCAACCTGGCCAAAGTCAAAATGAAGGAGAAAATTCTGCCAGCAGCAAGACAAAAACATTAAATAACCTACAAAGGAAAACCCATCAGTCTAACTGTAGATCTTTCAGCAGAAACTTTACAAGCCAGAAGGGATTGGGGCCCCATTTTTAATCAACTTAAATAGAACAATTTCCAGCCCAGAATGTTGTATCCT